TTCAACCTTCACATCTGTTCACCTAACGAGTGTCTGATTCTTTATGACTCACCCTGTGCTATGTGAAAGTTGCTCAGTCATGTCTGACTCTTTGTGACCCCATGGACTATAGTGTCCATGGAATTCTCCAGGCCAGAACTGGAGTGGGTAGCCTTTCCCTTCTCCAGGGGATCTTTCCAACCCAGGGATCAAACCCAGGTCTCCTGCATTGCAGGTGGATTCTTTACCAACTGAGCTATCAGAGAAGCCCCAAATGCTATGAAAGCAGGGCTATTCCTATTTTATTCACTGCATTCCCATGTATTCCCATGGTTCTTGTGCAAACACTCCAATATTTTTGAAGCAACAATTCCCCTATGTAAGTATGATTCACCTCAAGAAGGACTCTGAGGCTTCATACATTATCTCCATTGCTTTGCCTTCCAAACATGTGCCTCAGTTGTGCTTCCTCGCTTACCTTGTCCTCTTAATCCCTAAAGCGGTCAGAAGAAAAGTCCAAGATTCCACAATGTAAGCTGCTTCTTGCTAGTCAAGGCTTACAGCAATTCCACTTGGCAGCCTGGTCACAATCTCCAGACTAGGATCTATTTTAGGATCTGCAGACTACCCATCTCAGTTACTGAGTCACTGCAAGAGAAGTGTTCAATCAAAATATTATATTTGCCGGACAGCTCTTTCTGGAATGTCTGGTGTTCTCTTAGGAAGCAGCAGTCAACTGGGAGGATGAGAACCCTCCCTCTTTACAAGTAGATAACAAGGTCTTCTCTCTTGTATGCAGTTGGCCTAATAGCATAAAAGGAAGACAAGGAAGATATCTTTGTTTCTGATTGGACCACTTATTGTATCCATGGAAGGACTATGACATTTTGGAACGAGGTAAGCGGAAGAGTGTAAAACAGGCACTCAAATACCGACTCAGAGCCACCCTGGGAAATTTCAGAGTGATATGAAATGGGATTTATCACTCTGGACTCTTATTCTGTCATCTGGCTTCTTTGCCTCAGAGACTGTATCTACAAGTTTGACAGGCTCAAGGAGTCGTTGTGAGGGCAACTGACGCAGGGTATATCAAAGTGCTTGGAAAACTATGCCCAGCTAACAAAAAATGATAGAGAAGAAATTGTTAACAGAAGGACCACAGACTTCCCCAATACCAATTATATTTAGTTTTTAGGGGTCTGGAGAGAATATTTCACTGCTTACATCCTCACATAGGTTTAATTAAGAAGTAAAACTTACAGAAAAATTAGCCAAGCATATCCTAAATGATAATCAGTAGATTCTGAAAGTAAGAACTGGGTAGAGACCATATAGGGTACAATAAAGGGGAAACACCACGTATAGTTGTCCCATTTTATTTCCATATTTATAATTGTATGGATGGAAATATACATGCAGAGTATGATGAGTAAACATTTTTCAGTCAGTCACCTTAGACAAAGCTATAGTTTTTATTCATTCATAAAAAATGTTTTTATTATAATTGCTGAAAACTGGAAAAACAGAATAAGAATTTCCTGAAATGAACAAAAGATATCAAGCCACAGTTTCAAGATGCATGACAAATGCCTAGCATTTTGTTTGTTTTGCTTTAATTTAGTTTGTTTCTTTTGTTTATGGATGTTCAATTTCTCTAGCACCATTTATTGCAAAAGCCATGTTTCCTTAACCGAATGCTTCTTCACCTTTGACAAAAATCAGTTGGGAATATTTGTATGAGATTATTTCGAGGTTCTCTGTTCTGCTGCACTGATCTATATATTTAACCCGCCACCAACATAACCTAGTCTTGATTATTGTAGTTATATATCTTGAAATTTAGTACAGTGGTTTCTCCATTTTTCCTTTTTTTTCAAAATTGTTTTTGCGCTTATATTTTGTTTTTCAATACAAATATTAGAATACTCTTCTCTGTATCTTCAAAAAAATTTTGCTGGGATTTTGGCAGGAATTAATCCTGTACATCGATTTTGAGAGAACTGGCATCCCCTCATTTATTTTGATGATCATTTTCTTCAGCAGTTCATAGTATTAGGCATACAAATCCTATCCAAGTTTTATTTACACCTGAAGATTTCATTTCTACAATTTGTTTTCATAGATTCCATAGCATTTTCTACATATTCAATAATCTCCAAATAGGGACAGTTTTATCTCTTGATTCTCAATCTTTTGAAAATCGTTTGCCTTTTGGGTCCTTTTCTTGCTTTACTGCACTGGCTGACTGGTCCATCACTGTGTTAAAGAGTAGCAACAGAGGACATCCTTTTCCCCAGTTTTTGGAGAAAAGCATTTGTCTTTCAACATGAAGTACAATAACTGTAGCTTTTTACAGACGCTCTTTATAAAGCTAAAGTCCACGGGGTTGCAAAGAGTCAGATATGACTAAGTGACTAACACTTTAGAAAGTTATAGAAATTCCCTTTCATTCCAAGTTTGCTGAGTGTTTTTTTTTTTTAATCATGAATTGGTATTGAATTCTGTCAAATTTCTCTTTTTGCATCAATTATTAATCATGTGATTATTTTTTCTTCCTTAGCCTGTTAACATAGTGTATTAACTACTGACTGACTTTTGAATGATGAACCAACCTTGCATTCCCTGGGATAAACTCCAGTTGGTAATGGCTTATAATTCTTTATAATTTCTATTTCTATTAGCTAATATCTTGTTAAGGGTTTTACATGTACATTCATGAAAGATACTGGTCTATAGTTTCCTTCTCTTCCTTTTTTAATACTGTCTTTGGTTTTTATAATAAGATAATGCTAACTTCATAAAATGAATTGGGATGTCTTCCCCCTTCTACTTTTAGAATGATTGTGTATAAATGATATTAATTAGTCTTTAAACATTTTGCAGATTTCTTTGGTGAATCTCCAGTGGAGATTTCCTTTGGGGAGTTTTCAAATTATAAATTCAACGTCTTAAATAGGTACAGAGCTATTTAAATTATCTATTTCAAACTGGGTTTTTGTGGCAGGTGATTTTAAGGAATTGGTCCATTTCATCTAAATTGTAAACTGTGTGCATGCAAAGTTGTGCATACCACTAACTTTTTAAATCTCTGCAAAGTATGCAGTGACATTCCATGTTTCATTCTGATACTGCTAATGTGTGCTTTCTCCCATTTTTGTCTTTGTCCATCTTTCTAAAGTTTGTTAATTTTATTGATATTTTCCAAATACCAACTCTGATCTTCTCTATTGTCTTCCTGTTTTAAACGTTTGATTTCTGCTCTTATGTTTATGATTTACACTCTTCTGCTTCTTTGGTTTTTTGTAGATTGTCAATATGAGAGCTCACTTTAAACTGTTTTACCTTTTCTAATGTAATAATTTAATGGCTACAAATTTGCCTCTCTTCATTGCTTTAGTTATATCCCACAATATTGATACGTTGTATTTTTATTTCCATTCAGTTCACTGTATTTATTTCTATTCTCTTAAGATCTCTGTGATTCATGCATTATTCAGAAGTGTGTTGTTTATTGTCCAAGTGTTTGGAGATTTTAATATCATCTGTTATTGATTTCTAACCTGACTCCACTGCCCCTGGAAACATACTGTTTTACTTCATTTAAATTTGTTGAGGTTTGTCTTATTGCCCAGGATGGTATATGCTCTGTGGGTACATGAAAAGAACATATATTCTGCTGATGTTGGTTACAGTGTTCTATAAATGTCAAGTAGATTCTGTTGGTTGATAATGCCAAGTTCTTTATCGCTGGTAGTTTTTCTGTTATTCTTCTATCAATTGTTGAGAAAGGGGTCTTGAAATCTTCAATTGTCATTGAAGATGTGTCTACTTCTTTTAATTCTGTCACTTTCTATAGTTTGCAGCTCTGTTGTTTGATGCATACCTTTTTAGATTTGCTGTATCTTCTTTGTGGATTGATCATTTTATCCTTAAATAATTTTCCTTTTATATGTGGCAATTTTCTTTGCTGTGAAGTCTACTTATCTGATATTAACATTCTTTCTTATTTGGATTAATGTTTACATGATATTTCTGGTTCCTTAGTGGAAGTGACTAGAGAGCTACTAAACACAGCTGGAGGCATCTCTCCACAGGGTTTGCCTGTCCACATGAAGGTGGTTGGTTGCTAGTAATTGGCTAGAGTACAGTGGTTAGTTTCAAAGTGTTTCCATCTTGTTGGCTGGCCCTTCCTGGTCCTTGGATTCAAGAGTAGGCTTTTGGGTTTTTTGTTTTCCATTTCTGTGCCTATCAGCATTTCTGCATTACCAGCTTCTTCAGTTCCTATTCTTGGATATAGAAGGCAAAAAAGAAACCCAGGTAACTTACAATCAGGTCATACCTTGGGTCCCAAGGTCCCTAGGCAATCTGCCTGATTTACTCCACCTGTCAAAGTCTTCTTGGGTTTGTACACATAATTTGCAGGACTTTTAGTTATACTCCATGGGAAGAATAGGGAGACATACATCTACTCCATCTTTCCAAAAACAGAAATCACTGGTAATTTTTTGAAGAATTCTGACAATCTCTCCTTCAACTGGTGTGCTTAGTCTGTATCCATTTAATGTAACTGCTGTTAAATCAGAATTTAATTCTACAATTATATCATTTTTTTTCTGATTGTTCCATTTGTTTTCCATCCCACTGTTTGTCTTTCTCTTTTAGGTTATCTGAACAATTTTTAGTACTCCAGTTTATCTATTATGCTATCCTATTGTATTTGTATAAATTTTTTATTGGTTCCTCTATGGATTACACACCTCACTTCAGAGTCTAGTTAGAAGTAATACTTGAACACGTCAAGTAGAATGTCAGGATACATCCCTTTAGCCTCCCTACTCTGTTATGACTATTTTACATATTGCATTTACATACTTTTAACAATGTTTTGTTTTCAACCATCAAACATATTTAGAAGACTCAAGAGGGGGAAGAAGATGTCTATTACAGAGGTCACCAAGTTTTTCAGTGAAGATCCAGACAGTAAATATTTTAGGCTCTTCAGGCCATACAATGTGAAAGTAATGATTGGAAATGACCATGTGGAAGCTTCTGGAATGTGGTCAGTGCTCTATTTCCTGACCTGGTTGGGGGTTACATAGGAGTTCACTTTGTGGTAACTCAATGACTGTGTATTTTCTTTTAGGCACGTGGCCTATGTTAGTAACTCACCAATCAACTTTTGTGCACCAAATTGTTTTGTGTGTTATACCTAACAATGAAAGTAATTCTGAACTAAATAGACTAGAGACCTTTTGACTGTATTATCAGGAAAAAAGAAGGGGTATATAAAGTGCATGGTTCTCTTATTGCTCCCTTCAGTCCTTTCTTCTTTGAACAAAATTAATAGACCAGGAAATAGTAACAATTTTCCCTCACCCCTAAGATACTCAGACTATCTACTGAGTGCAGTGCACAAAGATGGAAACTGCTTGCTGGAGCGAGAAGTTTAAAAATGGGAATTGTGAAAAAATGAGATGAGAGGTAGATGAATTACATTAGATGAACATTTTAAGTGAATAACTGGAGAAGAGGAATAAGAGAACAATGGGAAAGATGTTCTTTAGTGAGAAAGTCAGTAATACAAATTCTAGATTTTTTTCATAGGGAGGGCAAGAAGGAAAAGGAGGTTGAAGAGAAAGTAGTCAAGAAGGAAGAGAGGACAGAAATAGGGAAGGGAAGTAAGGAGGGAAAGGCTAGAGAAAGAGAGAAAGAAGGGAGTAAAGGAATGGAGGAAATTAGGAAGGACACTAAAGAAAAGAAATGACACAGAAAGTAATGCGGTTAAATGGTCCATAATGGGCACCCGACACAAGCCAAGTAGTTTACCCACATAATATCTTTGACACCTCACATAAACCCTGTAAGTGAGATACTGTCTTTCCTATTTTATAAATGAGGAAACAGAAGCCCTTATAACTTACTTTACTCACAGAAACACACCTAGAAACATCAATCCTAGTTGCATCTAACTCCAAATTCTGTTCTCTAGGAAACCATTTAATTACAACCGAAAAGATTCCCTTACAGGAAGTAAATGCTTGTGTTACACTTGAGTCCTGCAAAGAATTACCCTAGAGGTTGCCTTTGTCCTAATATAAAGTAGAAAATGGCTGATTTTCTGAAACTCTAAATCTATCATTCCAAAATGGTATTGGGTCAGTTATAACACTTACTAATGTCACTGACATCCCCTAATTCTGCTTCAGTATTAAGGGCAATTTTCAAGCAAACTGTTGTTGCTGTTGCCGTTTAGTCCTAAGTTATGTCCAACTCTTTTACAACCCCATGGATTGTAGCAGGCCAGGCTCCTCTGTCCATGGGATTTCCTAGGTAAGAATACCAGAGTGTGTTGCCATTTCCTTCTCCAGGGGATCTTCCCAATCCAGGGAGTGAACCTGCGTTTCCTGCACTGGCAGACAGATAATTTACCACTGAGACATAAAACGGAGAGGGAAAAAGTTGGCTTAAAGCTCAACATTCAGAAAACTAAGATCATGGCATCCAGTCCCATCACTTCATGGCAAATAGATGGGGGAACAGTGGAAACAATGGCTGACTTTATTTTTCTGGGTGGGCTCCAAAATCACTGCAGATGGTGATTGCAGCCATGAAATTAAAAGACGCTTACTCCTTGGAAGGAAAGTTTTGACTAACCTAGACAGCATATTAAAAAGCAGAGACATTACTTTGCCAACAAAGTTCTGTCTAGTCAAGGCTACAGTTTTTCCAGTGGTCATGTATGGATGTGAGAGTTGGACTATAAAGAAAGCTGAGTGCCAAAGAATTGATGCTTTTGAACTGTGGTGTTGGAGAAGACTCATGAGTCCCTTGGACTGCAAGGAGATCCAACCAGTCCATCCTAAACAAAATCAGTCTTGAATATTCACTGGAAGGACTGATGTTGAAGCTGAAACTCCAATACTTTGACTACCTGATGCGAAGAGCTGACTCATTTGAAAAGACCTGATGTTGGGAAAGATTGAGGGCAGGAGGAGAAGGGGACGACAGAAGATAAGATGGTTGGATGGCATCACTGACTCAATGGACATGGGTTTGGGTGGACTCCAGGAGTTGGTGATGGACAGGGAGGCCTGGCATGCTGCAGTTCATGAGGTTGCAAAGAGTCGGACACAACTGAGCGACTGAACTGAGCCATCAGGGAAATCAAAGAACCTAGTGTACACTTTTTTGAGCAAAATCACTAGAGTACTAGGAGAAGTTGTGTTTAAACTGACAAATAATGCCTTATCTTATGAGAAAATGGGCAAAAAGTATACTCCTTGGCTCATTATTTAGTATTTGCCAACTGGTAGGAATGCCAGTTTCTATACAGGATGGTATTGAAAATACCAAGAGAAAACTCGAGCTCATGAAGTTACCTGGATTTCTTCAGATTAAACAGAGAGTAGAAACAAATTATTAGAGAAAGAGATCCCAGCAGAAAATTATCTCACTTTGACAAGATTACATGTGAAGAACAGTAGACTTTATCTTCGCATGTAGAAGATAAAGTATCTTCTATTGTATCTTCATACAACTTTGGTGGTCACTTCAAGAGTACTTGCAAAAAGTAGTATTCATTAATTCTTTCACGTTAGTTCAAAGTTATTGAACTATAGTTAGCATTTACTGTGGGTCAAAAGAAGTGGTGAGGGGATGAACAGAAGATAAAAAGAGAAAGATGGGTTCCCAAATACTGAGCATGGGTATAGGGAACGTGATAGATGCTGCCAAGATACTTTATACAGCACAGCTCTGGATATTCACTATAGTCTCTCAAAAAGCATAAAATTAAACCATGCTACCTCCAAGGAATAATTAGAAGTGAAAATCGATACGGAGAAAATGGCTCATATTCTCCTCATTGATTTTCTGTGCACACTGAGTCAAACTTGACTGTTGGCTGGAAGTCAGCTTGGCTACTTCTTATTACTTTTTTCAGCAGTTGGATACTCCTGTCAGTGCCTTTCATGGCGGAGTCTCTCTTTGCGCTAATCACAGCTGTCAGCTATTGAATGAGTTTGACACCCTGACTTCAGAAAGGAGGGGATTCACAGACTATGCATATGCAGTCAGTTCCTTCATTAATGCTGACTGACATCAGCAATAACATGGTGCACTGCCACTGATTTTCAGAAGCAAAACAAATGGCTGCACAACCAAGCAGGAATCTCCTGGATCCAAAACACCCAGAGAGCCCAAGAATCAGTGTTTATACAATTCATCCAGTATTGCAGTATATGCCTACACTTTTATCACTGAAAAGCATACAAGCAATCAGTGCAGAACCAGATCTGCAAACACACACACCAGCTCCTCCCCCAGAATCTCAGTTGCCCATTCCAAACGACCTTGGCTGGAGTGTCAAGTGTGGAGTGACAAGGGGGCATGAGTTAGCCATTGTGACTTGGCTTTTTGAGAAGCAGTAAGTTTCTCAAAGGGGGGAAAAAAAAACTGAAGCAGAACTAGAGCTTCAGCAAGTATTTTTGTACATAACATAGTACCATAAAAGGGTAAGACTCCAAGCTGAAATGGATCATCTAGTCCCAAGCCAAGTTCAAAACTTTTCCAGGGCATCCCTGACCAGGAAGATGACGTATTCAGATTCTAGATGACTTCCCTAGCAATAACCATGCCTTGTTTGGTGTGACGCACTTACTGGAAACAAAAGCACAAACTGAGTCAGTATTACAGGGAGCCGCTATGGCGGGGTCCCTATGGAAATGCAGTCCCAACTTGACCACTTATATTTAGTGCATGCACGCCCAGTCACTAAGTCATATTCAACTCTCTTTCGATCCCATGGACCAGGCTCCTCTGTCCATGGGGTTTTCTAGGCAAGAATAATGGAGTGGGTTACCAATTCCTTCTCCAGGGCATCTTCCCCACCCAGGGATGGAACCCGTGTCTCCTGCTTGGCAGGTGGATTCTTTACCACTGAGCCACTAGGGAAGACCTGTCTAGAGTTCAGTCATTCAAGTTCTCTTCAAACCCCAGGAGGAGATGCCATAAAATTTTCCCACTGTGCCTCACATACACTGTATCTTCCTCCCAGACTACCAAGATACATCAATGCCCCTTGGAAGACCAAGAGACTTGTAACCATCCCTAGTTGACCTTTAACTTGTTTCCTCCCTCAGTTCCTCAAAGACCCAATGGTCTGCTCTTCTACGGAGATTTGCAGAATCTCAGTACTAACCTGCCATTTTTCAGCAACTCAGAAATGTGGGCAAATGACTTTGTAAAAAATAAAATACAGTCCTACTGGGTTAAGTATAAGTACTGGGAAGCAGCAGCTCTACAACTGAGGGAAGAGCAGCTTGGGGGTGCTACAACCACAGGAGAACCTAAGACGTTATGATGACACTTCACCTACGGTGTTGGGGGTGGGGAGATGTAATTTAATAAATATATATTTACTATATACTGCGATATATACATACTTATTATACACACACACATATATATATGTCTTCAATTAAAAAGAAATGTCCTTGGTTGGGGGGGAGGGGTAACAAACCTGTCAGCCCTGCACGAGGCAACGCCTCAGGAACTACTCCGCGGGTCACAGGGCAGCTGAGTCTATACCAAATATCACCCCGGGGTCAGAAGGAACCACCCCGGTTTATTTGCTCCAGGACACATATCACACTTGGACAGTACTGCTTCGTTTGTCGCGCATTTTGTCTGTCTCCCATTCTAGAAGGTACCACAGGCCCAGAGAACGGGACATGGTAAGTGGTCAATAAATCGTTCTTGAACGGAGAACTGGCGGTTACCGAACGCGTACCTCAAGGAATGACTGACTGAAACTTCGAACGAACGACTCGAAGCCTGGCCTAAGTACCTCAGTTCTCCTCAGCTCAGGTGAGTGCTGGGGCAACGGTCTCCAGCCCCGGGCTACGGCGGCCGGGAGGGTCAAGCCAGTTCCGGGCGGAAGTGCAAGCCCCGCAGGGCCCGCCCTGCGCGCACGCAGACGCGGGTGCCCACGCTTCCGGGAGATCACTTCCTCCACTGTCTCCTAGCAACGGCTGGAAGCGTTGTTGACATCCCGGGCCGCGGTGGCGCAAGTCTGAGCCCAGAGTCTCGCCGCCCATAAGATGGTAAATCCAGGGTCTCTGTCAACAACCCACCCGCCAAGGGTGCCGACAGGCAGGGTCCCTTCGCTGCCCAGTTCTCGGGGCCGCGAGGAAGGCTGAGAGCTCCAGAAGCTTCTTGGAGGGGCGACACGGAGACGCTGGAGGGACCAGAGGGGGCGACCGTGGAGGAAGGGAAGATGTGTAGATGGGGGAAGCTTTCTTGGGGAATAGATATCTAGGGCTATCTTCTGGGGGTAATACTTGAGGAGGAAGAATATCGAGAAAGAGATTGGAAGGGATGAAAGATCCTGAGGTTAATGAGAAATCTCCTCGACAGCGAGGGAAGTTTGAAAGGGGAAGAGGCACCATGGAGGAGAGAAGAATCACCCTGAGAGGAAAGAAAGACATGGGACATGGAGCTCAAGGGAATGGAGAGGTGGGAAAAGGAGGAGCTATTGAGAGAGAAGAAAGAAAATTAAAGAGAAAAGAGGAAGTAGGGATGGGAGAAGAGAGGCGAAGAAAAGGAAAATGGAGAAAGAGGAAAGGTCGAAAAAGAACAAACCGAAAGCGTTTTTTGGTGTTTGTATGTGTGTTTTGTTTTGTTTTTAAGGAATGAAAAGGTATTGGCGATGGGAATTTAGAGACTATTAGGAGGGCTCAGAAATCACGAAAGGAAAAAACACCTGGAAAATAGAGGGACAGGCTGGGACAAGCAGGGAGGGAAGAGTAAAACAGAAAATGATTAAGAGGCCAGCGGATGTAAGGAGTTGTGGAAGCTGTCCTATAGAGGGCACAAAAAAGTAGTTATTTAATCCCCTGGTCAGGTATTATGCTTTAGTGCTGCTGCTGCTGCTGCTGCTGCTAAGTCACTTCAGTCGTATCCGACTCGGATGCTTTCGTGCAGTGTTTCCCAAAGAGAGATGCAAACATGAGTTGCTACTTTAAGATGGCTCAGAAATACCAAAAACCAGAGTGAATCACATCAGAGAAAGTTATTCCTCTTTCATTTTTTTCAGTCTCCAGGAGAGACTTTCTGGCACTTTTAGGTCCTTTTAATGCCACTATCATCTATCCTCAAGTAGTTTTGATTTTTCACCTGAAGTGCAAACCTCAGGCTCATAATTTTCATTGGAGTAGAATTTAATAATATGTTCTCTCTTTTTTTTATGGTTATTTCTACCTGTGACAAGTGATACAGGATTTGCATTTGTGGTAGTGATGTATAGTTTCCTTTTAAAATGCATTCATTTAAACTTTTAGCAGTGAGATAATTCTAAAAATGTGCTGGGTGAATAATATAGATGGTATTTATAATGGCAGAAATTGAAAACCTGGTACACGAATGCCTGAAATTTAGAAAACACCTGCTATAGTGGTGGAAAGAGGAAAAAAGTGCTCCTGCCCACCTTAGGGTCAAAAGAAAACTGAGTCAAAAGAAAGCTCTTTTGACAAAAGTAACATAATGTTCACCCATACAATGTCAGAAAGAAAATTATTTTATAAACCCTCATCAAAAGACTCTGCAGAATACTGTTTGAATTCAGAATATCCAGGGATTACTCTGTTATGAAAAATATGCAGGCTAGAAAATATTATTCTTAATTTTAGTGTTTGTAGAAGGAAAGAAACTGGTACAATATAGTCTATGCATAAGATTCAGAAAGCTAAATTTAAAACCCAATAATGGGATTATAACATTCATGGTTGAACATTCAGTTTGCCCTGAGATCCAGGCTGTAGTTACCAATAGAATCCTGGGATACATTGTTTTCACAGAATATTTTTAATTTAATCATCTGAACTCCCAGTTAGGTGACATTTACAACTGAGAATATGATTTCTTATTAAGTGATGCTTTTAGAAGGAAGGAGGTAGTAATATAGCTCTATAAATGTTTTTTAATCTATAATGTAGAAATGGGATTTTTCATATGAATACAGAAAGATCAATGAATGAAAGATGACCAGGAGCAGATTTCTGTTCAACATAATACTTTTCCAGTGAATAGAGACAGATAAAAATGAAGTAAACTCTTGTGAGGCAAGATTTCTGTCTCAGCAAAAGTCCAGGGCAAGAGATTTTTCAGGGTTATATGTAGAGAGTCTTATGTAAGTTTGCCTATGGGTCTTGACAGTTTCAAAGCTCTCTTCCAAAAGCTGAGATTTAGCATCCAATACCTTAGTTTAAGAAGACAAAGGAGAAGGGATCTTTCTAAACATTACTCTCTTTAGGACTGGGGTCACCATAAAGACTCTGGTTAATTTTTTTCCTGATCTCTTCCAGGCAGAGGTGGAGGAAACCCTAAAGAGGATCCAGAGCCACAAAGGGGTTATAGGAACAATGGTTGTAAATGCAGAAGGTAAATACATCACAGGCTGCCTTCTTGACACGCAGAAGCAGACCAAGAGCATTTTTGTTGTATGAAGTCTTAGGCAAACATCTTGGAATTTTAAATCAAAAGTATATTTTACATATTTTAGCTGTATCATTTACTTATCAAACATCTATTGAGTGTCTATTAATTACATGCCAAACACTCTGCTAAGAGGTAGGGAAATAAAATTTTTAATGTGTATATATTCCTAAGAAGTGCTGTACATTGCCTAATTTTTAAAGCTTTGGTAAACTCTCTTCTAACATTTCAGGAGGAGCTATAAAACTATTACAATGAAGATAAGAGTACCATTGTTGGCAGTTTGCTTTCATTTTGAAATTGTAAAGCGTACACAGTTTCAATCTTCATTTGAAAAGAAGTTGTTCCTTTGCCATAGTTCATGAAATCTTTGAGAATTGATTTTAATGTAATTTATAGTATAGTCTTCATGGTTATAGTTTCAGAAGGGCCAATATGTTTCCACCTATGAAATCTGTAGACTTATACCAGGAACTTGCCTATTAACAGTCTGCAGAGCCTTCTCTCGGGCACATTTGTTTCATGCTCAGATATGGTGGCAGCCTCTTAAAGGCTTCTGCTGGCTTCATTGCCAATTCAGGCATCTGTAAGGGCTAGAGGTGCCACAGATCCCAGAGCATTAGTTGAAACAAGAGTAGCTACTTCACATAATTCATGGTATAACCATGGAATCAGCACACTGCCAGCTCAGTGCTTGGCAACGGACTCTCACAGCTAATCATTATTATGGAGCAAATCCATCAATAAATATTTATTGAGCAACTACCCACTGAACGTCTGTTTAAGCTCTGAACTTTAATCCCTTATTATTAAAAATGGAAAATAACCTACTTTACTGATGATTGTGACAACTAAGTGAAATAATAATTGTCAAGGGCCTGGCACAATATCCGATACTTAACAGAATCGTAATGAAGTAGTTCTGTGAATGTGGAAATTTTTAATTTATTTGTACAGACAAAATATTTGATGTGTTTTACAAAATAATAAAATAAAATTTAAAAATGCCCAGTGTCAAGCGAATGTCAAGTAACAAATTGACCCAGCTTGAGTGATCAGGAGGGAGAGGTTTTAACATCAGCCTACAGGTAAATCAAGAGCTATGCCTAATATTTCTAGGAGGCAGTCCAGTCTGAGTGCATTGTTCTGTTTGAACTGATTTTAGCCCCAGGCATTTGCATATGCTCCATCAAAGGACCAAGATGGATTATTTGGAGGACTTCACAGAGAGGCTGTATTTGTTTTCTTTGGCTGCCATAACAAAGCACCACATACTTTGTGGCTTAAAAAGATTAGACGTGTATTTTCTCTCAGTTCTGGAAGGCTAGAAGTTGAAATCAAGGTGTCAGTGGTCCAGGCTTTCTTCAAAGAAGCATCCTTCCTTGCCTCTCTCCCGGCTTCTGGTGAGTTCCAGCAATCCTTGCTGTGTTTTCTTGAGGACGCATCACTCCCACCTCTGCCTCCATCATCGTGTGCGTTTTCCTCTTTGTGCTGTTTTCTCTTCTTATAAGGACCCCAGTCATTGGGTTAGGTCCCACACTGATCTAGTATGACCTCACATCTTCAAAGACCCTATTTACATATAAGATCACATTCTAAGGTTTAGGGGAGGCTTGAATTTTGGAGGGGACTCTATTCAACCCACCTGGTGGCTCAGACAGTAAAGAATCTGCCTGCGATGCAGAGGACCTGGGTTCGATCCCTGGTTCAGGAAAATCCCCTGGAGAAGGGAATGGCCACCTACTCCAGTATTCTTGCCTGGAAAATTCCATTGACAGAGGAGCCTAGTGGGCTACAGTCCACGGGGTCGCAAAGAGTCAGATACAACTTAGCGACTAACTCCAGTACGTTCATTCACCAATCCTGACACCCAGGACAATGTGTCTAATGGCAGACTTAGTCTAAAGTTCATAATGGCAATATGCTTTAAATGTCTGAAAATATCCGTACGTTTTCATCTGTAATTCCACTCCTGGGACTTTATTTAATGAATAATGAAGAAAAGATTTAGGTGCAGAGGATCTCAGAGAGGCATCATGTATAACAGCCATAAAGCGAAAGTCACTCAGTCATGTCCGACTCTTTGCAGTGAAGTCCATGGAATTCTCTAGGCCAGAATACTGGAGTGGGTACCCTTTCCCTTCTCCAGCAGATCTTCCCAGCCCAGGGATCAAACCCAGTTCTCCTGCAATAAATACACAGACAAATAAGTAAATAAATCTCTCCCAACAGTGGGGAAATTTTTGAATTAATTATGTAATATTTACTCAATGAACCATTAATCTGTTTAAAATGTTGAAGAATATTTAGAGTCATGAAAAACTACTCACAATATTAGATGAAAAAAAAGCAGGAAACGAAGCAGTAACCAGTATTTTTAAATCCTAAATACAGCCAGGCACACATACACACTGAAATATGGAAGAAAAGGCAGGGATGTGTTATGGTGATTATCTCTTGAGCAGTTGAATTAAAAATGACTTTTATTTTCCTGAGGTCTCTCAATTAACACTTTTCTCATCCAAGAGTAACACAATATTATTTTTCATACTCATTAACTTCTAATTAACCTCTACTAGGAAAAGGTTGTGTTAAGGTTCAGGGCACTTTTCTGAAAGCGAAATTAACCTTTTCCCAAAAAAATATAAATGAGGGGCTTATTTTTATGGTCAGATTATTAACAACTAGAGTGTATGACAAGGATGTTTATTAACAGCATATGGTATAAATTGTGTGACTAGAATGAAATGAAATACTCCATCTCAACAGGCTACTCAGGTTTAAATGAATGTGCCATTTATTACAATGTAGCTTTGCAGCATTCAGAAGTCCCATGAAATTTAACACTGTAAATATTTAACTAAACTGCTGTTTGTGTGTTCTTATTCTCTACCAATGGTTTTAGTTGATTAATTCCAGGCAAATCATTTTAACAGTTTTTTAGGTTTTTAATTGTGGTGAGGTAAGCCTTCTACCATGTTTTTACATTTAAATCTCATCCTCTGCCACGTTCAATAAGAGTCCTTTGGTTTCACTATTTGAAACATAGACTTATCCATGACAATGAAGTGAGCTTATCAGTTTAACCCAGTGCTGAGGGTTGTAGGTTTTTGTTAGATTCTTTGTTAACATTGGTTTCCCATTTATAAAGTACTTCATTGTTTACAATATCACAGTCCTGATCACTGAACTAGATACTGGTGAACATGCATATTTGTTTCCCAGACAATCATATCCGTTGTATATTCTTATGTATATAAGCCTGATTTCTGCAGGCTCTTAATTTTGAATATTCTTGACATTTCTAGCAACCCATCATTTGAGTTTCATTAGATTTTATCCAGCCATCCAGCCATTTCCTTTTATTTTTGAAATATAATCTAGCAACCAAAATACAAGTGTACAGTTGAAAAGTACCACCTTAGTGGGATCATAAAGAGTCATATTTTTAAAGCAGTATCATAAATTCAGGAATATTGAATTTATAGTCTTTGTTCTAGAAGTTACATTTTAGGAATTTATCCTACACACATGTGTATACAAATGTGAAATGGCATCCACACAGACATATTCTGTCGCCTTGTTCATAAAAGGCAAAGATTGGGAACAGCCCAAATTCTTGTCAGAAAGATATATTAGTTATGTGCATGACAAAGTATCCATTCAACAGTCGCATTATACAGCCATTAACAGGAATGCCCTAGCCTTATGTGGACTGAATGCAACAACTTCCCAAGTGTATCAAATGGAAGAAGTTAAGGTACAGAATAGAGAATGATACAGTTAAAGAATACAAGCATGAACATACTTGAATAGACTTGGACTATCTCTGCAAGGATACCAAAGAAACTCAGAGCAGTGGTTACCTCTCAGAAGGAGAAGAGGGTGCATTTTATACCATGTGCTAAAATTACTTCCTAATAAATTGTTTTTTAATTATCTCACATGGTCCCAAGCAAGAACTCAATAAACATTTGTTGATGGATTTTTTTTCCCCAAGGGTCCACAGCGATACGAAGAACTCCAAGAGTTTCCACGGTGCACACTTATTATTCAGGAATGCTAGGTCTATTATTTATTGACTTGAATCATGAATAGACTGACTAAGTAGGCCCAAGCATCTGATTCATAATCTTGTCATCTGCACTTTAAATAATTTATTCTGCTTGTATTTCTTTTTTGACACTAAGCAATGCAGACTTTGTAGGTAGTCGCTCTTCATGATGCAAAATAAAACTGTTTGGTCAAAAAGCGCTCTTCAAAGGTTGAGTGCTTGCTCCACTTTCAGCTTCCTGCTTGGTGAAGATGCGCACGTTGTGATGGTTCCCCAGCTGTGAAAGACAGAACTTCTCCAGACTTCCGGAGAGAAAGTGGCCAGCAAACAATAATATAGAAATTAACAAGTTTCCTATGGAACCTTATTTACTGGAAAGGTTTTCCTTATAAATATCGTCCTCCTCATCTTGTTTGGCAAGACCTACTCTGGAGAGAATGGATTTCTTAAAGGGGAAGGAAATTAGTCTGTTTCAAAGTCAGAGTTGAGGCTCTCAAAGATTTTCTTGAAACATACACAAAGTCCCAAGTTAGAAGCACTCAGACCAGTTTCTGGAGCTACATTCTCTGAGGGAAAAAAACCAAGAGAGCCACGTTAGCCATTTTTATTGATGGGCCTTCATTCGGGTTCCTGAGGAACTTGACAGCGATCCCAAATTCACCTTCACATGTCCCCCGAAACTCAAGGCACATTTGCAAATCAGATCCCTGGAATTCTCTGGCTTATCTGGTAGTTTTCAAAATAATATGAAGGTTGGCTCTGATTAGATACAATGTATGTAAAATACCTAGCACAGCACCTGTTCCATAATAAGCATGGAGTGGCCTGAATAGAGGCTGGATTGATTTGAACGTCTGGCTAGGTTTTTTTCAGCTAAATTAATAGCTTCTGTTTTACATTCATAATGAAACAATAGAGCACACAGGTAGCCAAATTTAATCACACTTAAACCAAGAATAAGTGCAAACCAGGGAATCCCCAGCCAAACTACAGCATCTTTGTTGCTGTGTTTTCTGGCATAAAAATTAAGGTTTGCAAAATACTGTATGAGGAAGTTACAAAAACCCCTTTTGATACACTCTCTAGCCTGTGCAGAGAGTATATCTGGTCTCTCTCTGGTCTCGGGAAACTAGCACCATGTCACAAGTGGACTTTTCACAGCTTTTCACAGTGAACTCGCTGTAGACAGGGTGCTTCAGTTCAGTTCAGTTCAGTCCAGTCGCTCAGTCATGTCCGACTCTTTGCAACCCCATGAATTGCAACACGCCCGGCCTCCCTGTCCATCACCAACTCCCGGAGTCTACCCAAACCCATGCCCATCGAGTCGGTGATGCCATCCAGCCATCTCATCCTCTGTCGTCCCCTTCTCCTCCTGCCCCCAATCCCTCCCAGCATCAGGATCTTTTCCAATGAGTCATCTTTGCACATGAGGTGGCCAAAGTATTGGAGTTTCAGCTTCAGCATCAGTCCTTCCAGTGAACACTGAGGACTGATCTCCTTTAGGATGGACTGGTTGGATCTCCTTGCAATCCAAGGGACTCTCAAAAGTCGCTTAGGGGAATGCATTTCATATAGAAACATGTTAAGTTACTACTGAAATAATTAACAACTTCCAAAAGATTTGTGTACAGAAGTGTTCATCACCATTAGGTATGAAAACAAAAACACACAACCTAACAATCCAATAGTAGGGGGTTGATTATATTATGATATGTCCAAAGAATAGTAAAGTCTACAGCCACTAAAAATAATGTCGATGGCACCATCAACAAGGGAAACTTGTATGCTGCCCTTTGAGTGAAGAAAAAAGCAACAGTCAAATCTACTATTATCATTTGATCCAGCTAAATTTTAAAACCCATGTGGAGGCAGAAAGATTGGAAGGAAATAAAGTAAAATTGTTGCAGTGAGTAATATGAGTCATCATTTTTTCTTCCTTTTTAAAGTTACCAGTATTTTCCAGTAGTTCTATGATGCACATATAACTTTTATAAAATGAAAAAAAACGTTTAACCCATTATTAAATCTCGCACTAGGCATCCCCATCCGAACAACCTTGGACAACTCAACAACAGTTCAGTATGCAGGTCTCCTTCATCAGCTGACCATGAAAGCCAAGAGCACCGTCCGTGACATCGACCCTCAGAACGACCTAACTTTTCTTAGGATCAGATCCAAGAAACATGAAATCATGGTAGCTCCAGGTAATCTGGCACATTTCATTTCACACTTCAGGCATCTTTCTACTTTAATGGATAAAGGCTTTCTGTCTCAGAGGATGGCGATTGTGGGTTTTAACATGCAATATGACCCATCATGTTTCTCAATTATAAGATGAAGTTTGAATCTGAAAATTCCTTGAAATTAGTCAAGAAGTTGGATTTTGCCCATTTGTACCTGTTAGTCAAACGTTTAGGAGGTGTAGGTTTCCTGTTATGTGAACTTAGCACACGGACTTCCTGAAGAGTGGGAGAAATGTCTCCTGTCCAGGGGATAAAGCAGAGGGTGGATCAAAGGTCTTTTGGGTCTCAAACCTTCCCTGGGGTGGAGCCCATTCACGGGGGCCACCAAAAGCCAGCTGTCACAGAAATACTTCTTTCCTCGAAGAAGGTACATTGACGATGTTAGTGGATGTCAGTGTAAAACAGGACTCAATGTTCCTAAATCTAATCTAGAGCAAACTTCTCTATAATGCAGCTGTAAAATCAGAGTCACCCACAAACCTGTGTTCTCACACAGACCGCACATTAGAATCACTTGGAGAACTTTTTAAAAATTTTTACCAATACCTGGAACTCCACCCAAAACCAACAGAATCTCTGGGGCTGGGCCCCAGGTAATGGTATTTTTTTTTTTAAGCTCAACAGGTGATTTTGTTGTGCAGCCAGGCTGGCAAGCCACTGGTCTACAAAGGGTCCAAGCAATGTGCTGAAGAGAAAAGCAGATGAGCTGAAGCATTCATTTATTAAATTTAATTTTTAGGGTAGCCTACTCTTGCCTGGAAAATTCCATGGATGGAGGAGCCTGGTGGGCTACAGTCCATGGGGTCGCAAAGAGTTGGACATGTCTGAGTGACTTCACTTTCTTTCTTTTTATAGTTCCTTTTGGAGAAAGAAATGGAAACCCACTCCAGTACTCTTGCCTGGAGAATCCCATGGATGGAGGGGCCTGGTGGGCTACAGTCTATGTAGAGTCTGTGTAGAGTCAGACACGCCTAAGCAACTAACACATACACAACACATAAGGTGGGCTCCCCTGGTGTCTCAGTGGTAAGGAATACCCCTGCCAATGCAGGAGATGCAGGTTTGATCCCTGAGCCAGGAAGATGCCTTGGAGTAGGAAATGGCAACCCACTCCAGTATTCTTGCCTGAGAAAATCCATGGACAGAGGAGACTGGTGGGTTACAGCCCATGGGGTTACAGAGAGTCAAACACAACTTAGTGACTAAACAACAACAACTTTTTAGGGTGGATTAACCTTGTCCATCTCTCTCCACAGATAAGGAATATCTTCTGATTGTCATTCAGAATCCATGTGAATAGACCTGCAACAGCCAAATTCTATCCTGTGATGCTGGGCAGAAAACACTTCACTCTTTAAAGATTCCTGAGATTATAATCCAATCTAAGTGTTCTTTTGGACAGTCCTTTCTATTTTACATTTAAACTCTGTACGTGTCTCATTTAGTCCCTTTTGAATGTATTGTAAATTTGTGATTTAACTATATAATAAATCAGTTTCTGAAAGAAACAGTAGTAAAGCTTAATAAAACTAAAAGCTGGTTCTTTGAGAAGATAAACAAAATTGACAAACCTTTAGCCAGACTCATCAACAAAAAAAGAGAGAAGAATCAAATCAACAAAATTAGAAATGAAAAAGGAGAGGTTACAACAGACAATGCAGAAATACAAAGGATAATAAGAGACTATTATGAACAACTATATGGCAATAAAATGGATAACCTGGAAGAAATGGACATATTCTTGGAAAAGTTCAATATTCCAAGACTGAACCAGGAAGAAATAGAAATTATGAGCAATCCAATTACAAGCACTGAAATTGAAGCTATGATCAAAAATCTCCCAAAACACAAAAGCCCAGGACCAGATGGCTTCACAGGAGAATTCTATCAAACGTTTAGAGAAGAGCTAATGCCTATCCTTCTAAAACTCTTCAAAAAATTTTAAAGGAACACTCCAAAGTTGATTCTATGAGGCCACCATCACCCTGATACCAAAACCAGTCAAAGACAAAACACAAAAAAGAAAACTACAGGCCAATATCACTGATGAACATAGATGCAGACCTCCTCGGCAAACTTTTAGCAAACAGAATTCAGCAACACATCAAAAATCTCATACACTATGATCAAGTTGGGTGTTTATTCCAGGGATGAAAGTATTCTTCAATATATGCAAATCAATCATTATGAAACACCATATTAACAAATTGAAAGATAAAAACCATATGATAATCTCAATAGCTGCAGAAAGAGACTTTGACAAAATTCAGCACCCATTTATGATTAAAACTCTAAAAAATAGGCATAGAAGGAATCTACCTCAACATAGTAAAGGCCATATATGATAAGCCTATAGCAAACATTATTCTCAATGGTGAAAAACTGAAAGCATTCCCCCTAAGATTGGGAACAAGACAAAGGTGTCCACTTTCACCACTGTTATTCAACATAGTTTTGGAAGTCCTAGCTGTGGCAATCAGAGAAGAAAAAGAAATAAAAGTAATCCAGATCAGAAAAGAAGCAAAGCTCTCACTGTTTGCAGATGACATGATACTGTACATAGAAAACCCTAAAGATAGTATCAGAAAATTACTAGAGCTCATCAGTGAATTTAGCAAAGTTTCAGGATATAAAATCAATACATAGAAATCACTTGCATTTCTATATACTAACAATGAAAACTCAGAGAAATTAAGGAATCAATCCCATTCACCACTGCAACAAAAAGAAGAAAAGATCTAGGAATAAACTTGCCTAAGGAGACAAAAGAACCGTACATAAAAAATTATAAGACACTGATGAAAGAAATCAAAGATGATATGAACAGATGGAGAGATATTCCATGTTCCTGGATAGGAAGAATCAATATTGTGAAAATGACTAGACTACCAAATGCAATCTACAGATTCAATGCGATCCCTATCAAATTACCAATGACATTTCTCACAGAACTAGAAAAAAAAATCCACAATTCATATGGAAACACAAAAGACCCCGAATAGCAAAAGCAGTCTTGAGAAAGAAGAATGGAGCTGGAGGAATCAACCTTCCTGACTCCAGATTATATTACAAAGCTACAGTCATCAACACAGTATGGTACTGGCACAAAAACAGAAATATAGACCAATGGAACAAGGTAGAAAGACCAGAAATAAATCCATGCACCTATGGGTACCTTATTTTTGACAAAGGAGGCAAGAATATACAATGGGGCAAAGACAGCCTCTTTAATAAATGGTTCTGGGAAAAATGGACAGCTACATGTAAAAAAATGAAATTAGAACACTTCTTAACACCATACACTAAGATATAAAATGGATTAAAGACCTAAATGTAAGACCAGAAACTATACAACTCTTAGATGAAAACATAGGCAGAACGATCAACATAAAGCAAGATCCTCTATGATCCACCTCCTAGAGTAATGGAAATAAAAACAAAAGTAAACAAGTGGGAACTGATTAAACTTAAAAAGCTTTTGCACAGCAAAGGAAACTATAAGCAAAGTGAAAAGACAACTCTCAGAATGGGAGAAAATAATAGCAAATGAAACAACTGACAAAGGATTAATTTCCAAAATATACAAGCAGCTCATACAACTCAATACCAGAAAAACAACCCAATCAAAAAGTGGGGGAAAGACCTAAACCGTTATATCTCCAAAGAAGACATACAGATGGCTAACAAACACACGAAAAGATGCTCAGCATCACTCATTATTAGAAAAATGCAATCAAAACTACAATGAGATATCACCTCACACCAGTCAGAATGGCCATCATCAAAAAGCCTACAAACAATAAATGCTGGAGAGGGTGTGGAGAAATGGGAATGCTCTTGCACTGTTGGTGGGAATGTAAATTGATACAGCCATTATGGAAGACAGTATGGAGATTCCTTAAAAAACTCGGAATAAAACCACCATATAACCCAGTAATCCCACTCCTAGGCATATACCCTGAGGAAACCAAAATTGAAAAAGACACATGTATCCCATTGTTCTTTGCATCACTATTTAAAATAGCTAGAAAATGGAAGCAGCCTAGATGTCCATCGACAGATGAATGGATAAAGAAGTTGTGGTACATATACACAATGGCATATTACTCAGTCATAAAAAGGAACGCATTTGAGTCAGTTCTAATGAGGTGGATGAACCTAGAACCTATTACACAGAGTGAAGTAAGTCAGAAAGAGAAAGATAAATATTGTATTCTAACACATATATACAGAATCCAGAAAAATGGTACTGAAGAATTTATTTACAGGGAAGCAATGGAGAAACAGACAGAGAATAGGCTTATGGACATGGGGAGAGGGAGGAGAGGGTGAGATGTGTGGAAAGAGTCACATGGAAACTTACATCACCATACATAAAATAGACAGCCAATGGGAATATGCTGTCTGGCTCAGGAAACTCAGGGGCTCTGTATCAGCCTAGAGGGGTGGGAGGGGGCGGGAGATGGGAGGGGGTTCAAAAGGGAGGGGATTTCTATATACCTGTGGCTGATTCATGTTGAGGTTTGACAGAAAACAACAAAATTCTGTGAAGCTGTTATCATTTAATTAAAAAATTAAAAAAATTTTTTAGTGATACCTGGAACTCCACCCCAGACCAATGAAGTCAGAATCTCTGGAGCTGGGCCCCAGATAATGGTACTTTTTTTTTTTTTGAAAGCTCAACAGGTGATTCTGATGTGCAGCCAGGCTGGCAAACCACTGGTCTACACAAAGTCCAAGTGATGTGCTGAAGAGAAAAGCAGAAGAGCTGAAGTATTCATTTATTTAATTTTTAGGGTAGCCTAACACATAAGGTGGGCTCCCCTGGTGGCTCAGTGGTAAGGAATCTGCCCACCAGTGCAGGAGATGTAGGTTTGATCCCTGGGCCAGGAAGATCCCTTAGAGTAGGAAATGGCAACCCACTCCAGTATTCTTACCTGAGAAAATCCACAGACAGAGGAAACTGGTGGGTTACAGCCCATGGGGTTACAGAGAGTCAAACACGACTTAGTGACTAAACAACAACAGATTTTTAGGGTGGATTAACCTTGTCCATCTCTCTCCACAGATAAGGAATATCTTCTGATCGTCATTCAGAATCCTTGTGAATAGACCTGCAACAGCCAAATTCTGTCCTGTGATGCTGGGCAGAAAACACTTCACTCTTTAAAGATTCCTGAGATTATAATCCAATCTAAGTGCTCCTTTGGACAGTCCTTTCTATTTTTACATTTAAACTCTGTACGTGTCTCATTTAGTCCCTTTTGAATGTATTGTAAATTTGTGATTTAACTATAATAAATCAGTTCTGGTAGTTATGTCACCTTTTTTTTTTTCTTTTATTGAATTGGCAAAAATGTTTGTTCAGGGTTTTCTGTAAGATGGCATGGAAAAACCGAATGAACTTTCTGGCCATACCCAAAACTGAAGCATTCTGGTGACAAAGGCAGACGTCCTTGTGACCGTTCTTTTAGTCTAGAAGCAAATATTCAACCACCTGAATATTCTTTGGAAGGACTGATGTCGAAGCTGAAACTCCAATACTTTGGCCACCTGATGCAAAGAACTGACTCATTTGAAAAGACCCTGATGCTGGGAAAGATTGAGGGCAGGAGGAGAAGGGGACGACAGAGGATGAGATGGTTGAATGGCATCACCGACTCAATGGACATGAGCTTGAGTAAGCTCCAGAAGTTGGTGATGGACAGGGAGGCCTGGTGTGCTGCAGTCCACAGGGTCACAAGGAGTCGGACAGGACTGAGCGACTGAACTGAACTGAACGGCCACCAAGCATCAAAATAGATTTTGCCCATTTTGCGGACATGCCCAGGAGATTCAGCAGAGTCCCATGGGTTGGGGGGGAAGCAGGGTGTCCCAGCTCTGAAGGAGGGTTAAGTGCCTTCCCAGGTTAACAAGGTAAGAGGTCAGGAGCATGGTCCTCAGCTGGATCAGCACCGCCACCTGCAACACTCCTCAGGCTTGTCCCTCCATCGCATGAGCCTGAGCAGACCAGGAGCTGGTTCTGAGCAAGGACACCCAAGTCTAAGGCTGCCTGGATAGCTCTCGAAGGGTCTTTGGGGTTTTTTTATCTTTTATTTTTTTTTTGACAATTTTTAAAGTATTGAATTTGTCACAGTGTTGCTTCTGTTTTATGGTTTTGTTTTGTGGCCCTGAGGCATGTCGGGTCTTAGCTCCCCAACCAGGGATCAAACCTGCACCCCCTGCACTGGGAGGTGAAGTCTTAACCACTGGGCCACCAGGGGAGTCCCAGGAAGCTTTACTTCTACTGAGTATTTCAAA